ACTTCTCTCTCTCTCTCTCTCTCTCTCTCTCTCTCTCTCTCTCACATTCTCTCATTCTCTCATTCTTTCTTTTTTCCTGGTTCGCACAATTTCGCGCTTTCTTACTCTACGCAATTCTGTCTCTCTCCCTTTCAAGTGCAGAAAGTGCAAAGTGCAGCTCGACCCGACGGATGAGCGATAAATACATGTCCATACGTACTACGGTCAACTACATGATGTGACGTAACGTGTCGTTGCTATTTTACGCGATTATACAGGGTACAATTCCTGCCAGAACCCCGTGGTTCAATTCAATCGAATTCTATCGAGTCTCCCGGTAGATTTTGATTTTTATGAATTCTTGAATGCCGGTGTCATCGTGGCTTGCGCCTGGAGCTCTCGAAAGTGATGGCTTGTATCAAATAAAATTGGTGATAGAGACAACATCGCGTGGTGGTTTGAGTCTCGTGTAACATAATCCTCCGTCGTGGAGGAGGATATCAAACCGAGAATTTTAATAGTAAGGAAAAACGATAGTATAGTTAGAGATGAAAAATCTCATATGCCACAAATGCTTTCTAGCAGCCAAGAGGCACAAATCGACACCAATCTAGTTCAGTAGTATCATCAGTTTGGTAAACAAGAATTGATGACATGGATAGATGACAGTACAACTTGATTTGTGTCGATTTGCGTTTGTTAGAAAGCATTCTACACATAAGGACAGAAGTTTAAGGCATCTTAAATCTCACTGTCTGGTGAAGCGACAGAGAAAGACAAATATGAAAGAGAAGAGTGCTATATGACTTAAAGGAGAGGTTAAGGTATCCAAATCTTCTTTCACCTCAAGATGACACTATAAAAAAAAGCAAGAAAACAAATAAGACACGGTATAGAAAAGGAAGACTTTTCAGATCATTTTAGATTTTGTGCCACACAGTTATATCTTTTGTGAATTTATATACCATTTTTTTTATATAAACATTGCTATTCATTCTTGAAATGCAGTATATTTTAATTAAAGCTAGAATTGTATGCTAACTCACACATTTAATGAATAAAAAAATTTGAGATTGTAAATATATGTGTAGTTTATTTTGTGCTTTCCAGTTTTAATAAAGATTTGTGTAAAGATTTACATTCTTGTTCTCTAAATTTCTTTTTGTTCTGATTGAAATAGATTAAGTCTAAACATCTTACACCTTACATCTAACTCGAGTAAATTACTAATGTCCATTTCTATTAATGTTTAATTTAATACTAATGATTATTTAGTTGCGAGAATTAGAAAAAGATAAATAGTAAGGTAAACTGAAATTAAAATTAATCTACATTGATAAAAATACATAATATAATTACCTTCTCCTTCTTAGTTCTCATTTATCTTAACTTCTATTCCTTTTTGTATTTTTAAACAATCGGATAATTTTTAACTGTCTAATTTAATCATTTTTAGATTAATTTTCATCTCGATTCACCTTTTATTTTTCTTTAATTCTAAAAATTAGAAAAAGAAGTAAATTAAGCCGAAATTAAAATTGATAGACATTGAATATAACACAGCTTCCTGCTATACATTCAATCATTTCTTCATCTCTTTGACAAATGTTATAACGCCTTCTTCTTGTATGTTCTTATTCTCAGAATGTATTTCTAAATTTGCCACAACTAAATCTTGCTTCTTGATTTTCTGACAATATTTGTATTCTTAAATTTTAGAATATCTACATGATATAGTTGTTTTTCAATCACGTATCTAGTCTCCTAAAATATATGCTGTGTAACCTTTAGATTAAAAGCATCCCGTCACAAAAAGGAAGGATGTCGAACGTGGGTAATTTGGAGCAGCAAATCGCGAGCCTGCAGATTGGCCATGGCGATGAGGCAGCCAAGAATGTTGTCAAGCCTGGTAAGAAGATCGGGCCCGCGGTGCCGCCGAAGCCGAAGAAATCTCAGCCTCAGGTGAATCTTAAGTTTTCCCGTTGTAGTCTCGTTATTTCTATTCTTGTTTTATATATATGCACATATATATGCTAACACAGAATATTTCCCTGTTCGCACGCATTCTTGAACACGGATGCAACAATGGTAATACATTAATCGAGCGGTGGAAGTCGCAATAACAAGAGAAAATATGTTTCAAATACTATGTCTTGTGGAAGCCACAATAACAAAAGAAAATGTTTCAGATACCGCAAAGTTACACTATAAAGACGCCGCCTGTGCCATCGTACAGCACAGTGCTCAACAATACGGCGTCAGGCGACAAGCCTTCCAGTCTGTACGTGAATACATCTTCGCCGTATGTTCCACTGGACATAAAGAACGACTTTTCGCAGATAGAATTGCCCGCTAATGACAAGGAGGTGCCACCGAAGCTTTATCAGAACAATGATAATCTATACGCGCGTCAGACGGAAGAAAAATTTGAGCCGAAATACAGATACGACGAGAAGAATTATTATTCCAACGTCGGGAACATGCCAGCACCTCAGGTACCTGTGCCAGACGATCGCGCGAATAGAGCGACCAGGAATGCGGTGTACAGCAATGTAGAACCACCGGTACCCACGATGGTCTCCGCATACGAGTACCCATATGAAATGGACAAAGAAATTATATACAGCAACATTCAGTGGGGCCCTAAAACAGAGAACACATACTGCAATGTTCCCGCTGCGCACTCCGCTGGTAAGTATCCTAAATTTGGAAAATAAACAGCTTTCGCCTGTAAGATAATTACAACGTATAATTCTTATAAATAGAAAAAATGTTATTTCCAGAAGAGCAATTTTGCAGCAACTTTGTAGTCTCTTGACAAATTAATGGATAAAGTAATCTGTTCGTAGACGATTTGCCACCACCACCGGAGCCGTCGGAATACGTCTCCTGTGTACCCGGAAACTCATTTCCACCGCCGCCCGACGAGTTGCCTCCACCACCGAGTCCTGTCTCGTCTAGTTATAGCGAGTTGAGACGTGCCACTTATCAAACCGATTTTCCATCGGGCAACTATCCCGCCGATATCTATGGTCCGAGTTCACAATCCAGCTCGACGTACGAGTCCATATATGAGCCAATTAATCCCAGACCGCCGTCACAACTCTCCTGTAATTATTCGATGTATTCTGGTTATGGGTCGGCTGCGTCCACTCAACCGCAGGGCAAGGTGTCTCCCGTTAAAGAAGTGAGTCTCGGAAATTTATCAACATTTTTCAATTTTTTAAAATATAAAATAAAATGAGTTGATATATATATATATATATATATATATATATATATATATATATAATAAT